TCCTTGACTTGAACTGTGTCTGGAGACTGAAAGCTGAAATCGCTGAGATAGCTTTCTGTATCCTTCCTCTAAACCATGACAGTGAACAATCTTTGTTTTCAGCTCATTTGAAAGTTGTTTTGAGACTCCCATGCTGTGACTCTTCAGAGAAGATGCAAAGAGGAGAAAAACCTACAATTGCCTCCCTTAAATAACCTTTCTCATAATTGGAGTCACCTGTGTACGGAGGTCAAGGGACACTGAACTTACCAAACCAAATTTAAGTTCCAATAATTAGTTCTAAAGGTTTGAAATCAATAAAATGACAACAGTGCACAAATTTATGCACCTGCCAAATTTTGTTTAACCAATTATTGCACACTTTCTGTAAATCATATAAACTTCATTTCACTTCTCAAATATCACTGTATTTGTCCTCTATATGATTTATTTTACTGATGTTTTTTTATCCAAACAATCATTGATTTATAAAGATAAATCAGGAAAATTAACAAGGCTGACCAAACTTTTGCACCCCACTGTATTTATAAAAAATACAAAATTGATCAAATAATAGCTTTTATTCTGAAAAGAGTATGCTGTAGATGTGTGCAATACTATAAATTTTGGTACTGATCCGATACCAAGTAACTACTATTGCTGAWAAATATATCAATAAATGTCATGTTTATTGAATAACTTTGTGATTTTGCCTTTAGTTAGTAGATTATCATAAAACACAGGACAAAGATTTAAAATAATAATGTTTTGTATTAACTAGCTAAAYTTAAATAAAATGATGTAACAATATAAGACTTAAAAACAGTTCCAAATTGGTGCATTCTGACAGTATAGTATCATGATGTTTCTACATTTATTCATTTTTTTATCACAAAATCACAACTGTCCTTCAAATACAGTAAATGTTAATATTAGAAACAATTTTGAAAAAAAAAACATGTCAAAAGTTGAAACCAGTTTTCAGTTTAAACAAGCTTGTTTTATACTGTACAATAAAATATTTATGGTGGACAACTTGAGTTAATTGAACTGATCAGAGGACTAGAAGTGTRAGACTGGTACAAGGGCCATCTCTAGTGGTGAATGCTGCCATGTACTTTCATTTATACTGTGTTACCACAGGTTGTAAATACTGATAAAGTCTTCCACTCATTACAAGTTTAACACTAATCTGAAACACCATCTCAAAAACACCAAAGATACAAGCATTTTTTGTTCCTTTTCTTGAATTATTTTATTGTATTTATATTTTATAGATAACTTTTGTGGTCTGTTTAGTGCATTTATGTTCTTAGCTTTGGTCTGTTTGTCTTGGGCATTTTACCATAGTCCTGTCATGAAGTAAAGGGGTAAATTAGCCTTTAGTTATAAATCTGACCTATTTACAAATTAAATCTGTTTAATGTGCATTGTRCTTTCAAATTATAATATTAATTATACACTTTTGGACATTTACCTGTATCTTGGGGGAGTGGCAAACTTATTTCTAGTGGCAGAATGGGTTGAGAG